TTAGGAAGATGCCGTCCATCTGGCACAGTATTTTAAGCAGAATATTTCTGAGCACATTTCCTTTGCACTGGGGCTCCTGGCACTGCTCGAGCCCCGCTGTGACAGGCACAGGGCACCGACCACAGCGTTTGCAGGAACTATGAGCCCACCTTGCCTTGCCCACAGTCGAGTCCCGGGTCCCCAAAGAGGGGACAAGGCCTGATGGCATCGAGGGGCACGCAGGGACAGGGCTGGGGGTCTGGGCTCAGGGGGGCAGGAGGGAAGAGCTGGGGGCAGCCCCAGCCTGTGCTCCCTGGTCTCACCCCACCCCACAGACCAGGGGTTTCCTGCAGCCTTTGCCGAGGTTGTTCAAGCAAACCCATTAGGTGTTTATTAGCCCTCATTATGGAGTGCTAGAGGGTTAATTAGTTCAGGCTGCTCCTGTGGGAGGGATGGAAGGCAGGAGGGTGAGGCAAGAGTATCCAGGTCCCTGAGCCGGGACCAGGCAGCCTGGGCTGCCCCTGTCCTCAGAGCTGGACAGCCAGGGGGGAATCTGGAGCCCCCTCGCTGGCAGCAGGGACTCCTGCCCCTCCGACCAGGGTCTTGCTGCTCAGGCCCCCCCAGCTGAGAATTAAGGGTTAATGTTTCCTGCTGCTCCACTGGCACTGAATTCCTCTTGGCCATCAAAAGTCCTCTCTCAGAGGAAGGACAATGCTGCACCAGACTGGTGTGATGGGAACCAAGTGGAAATTGCAAATGCAGAGGGTTCACGGGGGTCTCAGGAACTCCCAGGCGGGGCCCCCTGGCTCCCTCCAGCCGTGCCCAGCATATGACCAGGCAGGATGGGGACACTGTCCCCTCCCGGCTCCTGCAGAGCCTTCCAGACAGGCAAGGGCACTTTCCACTTCAAGAGTAGAAAGACAGAGTAAATACAAACGGGAAAAGGTATCTTTAAACTGGTGTTGTGCTGCTTCCTCTCTACACACACTCAGACTGTCGCCCTGCTGCGTATTCTCTGTTCAGCCCAGCAGCCACTCCTGGGATTTGTTTGCCCACAAAGTCCACGGACTGACTCGGGGTGCAAGAGCAGCTCCTCTGAAAGTGGATTTCTACAGGCCCTGTGATAGGAGGTGGAAACATTATCAGCACCTGAGCAGAAGAAAAGGAAAAAACAGCCAAAGAGGACAGTGAAGTAATTCCTGCCTGGCAATCAGGTACAAGATAACTATGGCTGTGGCCCTGCTTAATTATTTCTGCTTCATCTCATTGTGAAAAATCGGTCATTTCCACTTAAAAGACACTCTGTGTGATGTTTGGCTTCCCCAGGTGAGTCAGTGCTGTAGCCCCACAGAGGGATTCCCTGCAGGAAGGGCACAAGGCATTTGCATTTTTCAATTACTGCATGGAGAAGTCCCTGTCAGTGGGAACTCGGACACCAAAGTTCCACAGGGCCAGGAGTCTGTGTCCATGGAGAGGGGGACAGATGTGCCAGGGCAGTGTCCAAGCAGCCTGGGCCCCCCCAGTGCTGCAGCCAGTGACCCCAGAGCCCCCTTCCCTTCCCTTCCCTGCACCATGGCCTGGCAGCACATCCTGCCCCGGGAGCCTCCCCTGGCACCGGGGGCATGGGAAGCACGTCTGGCCCTGCAGCCCTGCCGGACACCGACCCAGCAGAGAGGGAGCGTGACCCAAAACATCCCGTCTGAGCCGCAGTTCATTCCCCTTGGGATGCTCCCCTCGTTTATCATCTCCCGGCGGGAGCTCCAGCTGGCTGGGGAGGGCCAGCTGCGGGAGCAAACGGCGGGACTGAAGAAACAAAACGCCGCCTCCCCGAGCTGTTTGTTCGGGTCTTATCAACTGCTGAAATAAACGAGCCACTGGCTGGCACCACAGCGGGCACCGGGCACTCAGCTGGCCGGGGCTGGGACGGTGGCCAGGGGCACAGGGACACAACAGCAGTTCCCGGGATGGGAGCGGCCGTTCCCGGCGGTTCCCGGCGGTTCCCGGGATGGGAGGGGCCGTTCCCGGGGCCGTTCCCGGTCCCACGTGCGGGGCGAGGGGGGCGGAGTCACGCGGAGCCCCGCCCTCTCCTGTGATGGTGCAGCCAATGGAGCGCGAGCTCCCTTCACGCACGCGCAGGCGGGGCCGCTCAGCCGCCTGGCGGAGCTGCGCCTGCGCAGTGCCGCGCCCCGGCGCGGTGCGGGCAGCACTTCCGCCCTCGGCCTGCCCGGCGCGGCGCCGGCGCTTTCGCGACAGCCGCAAAGCGCGCGGGGCGGCGGCGGCGGGGCCGGGCCGGGGCGATGAGGCCGCAGCAGGCGCCCGTGTCGGGCAAGGTGTTCATCCAGCGCGACTACAGCGGCGGCACGCGCTGCCAGTTCCAGAGCAAGTTCCCGGCCGAGCTGGAGAACAGGGTGAGGCGGGGCGCGCCGGGGCTCGACCAGCGGGCCCGGACGGGCCGGGCCGGACGGGCGGGCGCCCCGGCTGGCCAGGGGCCGGTCCCGCGGGACCCCCGCGCGTGGGGCAGCGGCTCCTGCACAAACCCGCAGCGGAGGCCGGGCGGGGGGGGTCCGCCCCCGTGTGCCGGGCCCAGTCCCGTGTCTGGGTCCCGAGAAGGCGGCGGGTTGGCAGCAGGGGAGCAGAGTGTGCCCGCTGTGTCTGCGCGAACAGAGCCGGCTCTGTGCCCCCGGGCGTTGGCACCGTCCCCTCCCGTGGAATCCTGCCCGTCCTGCCGAGCGCGCTCCGAGGCGCTCAAGTGCTGCCTCAAGTGCTCTCGCTTTGCTCGATGCTGCCAGGTGTGAGATCCTCAGCTGACAGCAAAACAAACACCCCTTCCTGCCCCCTTCTCTTTCTGTTGCTCCACATTTTCCTCGCCCTCGTTCCTTTACTGTGATTGTTGGGGGTGTTGTGTTTTTGGGGGGGGGGTGTTTGGCCAGCTCCGTGGGCAGCAGGAGTGTCCAGGCACTCCCCACCTGCTTGTCTCTGCTGGCTGTGGGCTCAGGTTCTCTCACGGTGGCTGAGGGGTGTTGTGTGCTGCTCTGAGGGGCTCTGTGTGCACGTTGTGCTGCAATCCAGGCCCGGCCCGAGCACAGGAGCTGCACCCTGAGACTGGATGTCCTTCAGGCTGGGGCTCTGAGCACAGTGCAGCTCTTCCAGGAGAGGAGGGGGATGTCTGAGGGTGTGGGAGGCTGTGACAGCCCCTCTTGCTTCTCCTGCAGATTGACAGGCAGCAGTTTGAGGAGACGGTCCGGACGCTGAACAACCTCTATGCAGAAGCTGAAAAACTTGGGGGCCAGTCTTACCTGGAGGGGTGTCTGGCCTGCCTGACTGCCTACACCATCTTCCTGTGCATGGAGACACACTATGAGAAGGTGTGTGTTTGCCTCCCCCGTGGGCAAGGACGTGGGCCTGGGGGGGGTTTCCTGTGACCTGCAGTGCTGTGGGACAGATTCCTTGTGGAGGTACCTCAGTTGGGTCCCTTTGGGGTGCCCCTGATCCCCTAGGGGTGTCCCTAGGTCCCCTCGGGGTGTCCCTGAGTCCCCTGGGTCCTGCAGGGATTTGCTGCCACACCAGGTGTGTGCTGGTTCTCCATACCTGTGACACTGCTGGGGCTCTGACTCGTGACTAAGGAAGCCTGAGGAAGGAGCTGTGACTCCTGTGCTGTTCTGTTGGCAGGTTCTAAAGAAAATTGCCAAGTTCATCCAGGAACAGAACGAGAAGATCTACGCTCCTCAGGGCCTCCTGCTGACAGACCCCATTGAAAGAGGACTCAGAGTTGTATCCTTTTGTGGCTTCTGAGGTTGTCTCCTGGCTCGTGCTCCCTGTTTGTCTCAGTGTGGCACCTCTGTTGTGTCCTGCTCAGGTTTTGGTACATTAAGATTTGGCAGATGGAAAGGCACTGAAAATGTAGTGGAACCCAACCTGACAGGGCATCTCACATGAGCTGTTCCCTTTGCTTTGGAACTCTGAGACCTCCCTTAAAACAGCAGGAATGAAGCAGAGGTCAAAGGTCCCATCATCCTGATGTTTTCCTGCCTTTTTTTTGGTTATGCTTTCATAATCTCTTTATGGTGTGTTTCCCTAACAGCTTTTCTGTGCAGATTGAAATTACCATTTATGAAGACAGAGGTTTGACCAGTGGAAGATAAAACTGTGGAGTCTCAGGTACCTGTTACCTTGATCCCAGATCAATCCCAGCCTCTTCTCTGTGCTCAGAGGAGATATAGAACATCAGAATTACTATCCCTGGCCTTGGAAAGCTCAAACTGGAACTGGCTGCCCTGTCTTAGGTGCTCTGCAGGTCCTGGGATGGGGGTGTAAAGTCTGGGTTGTTGGCAGGGTGTGCAGGAAAGAGGGAGGAAATATTTATGCCTGTTATGCAAAAAGAAACAGAATAAAAGTCTTTATTTCCTGTTGGACAAACAAAATCCAGAGTGCTGAGTTCTGCTCAGGCTGCTCCTGCTGCCTCTCCTCCCGAGATAACAAACTGCAGCTGTGGAAGGGTTTGACTTAGGAGGAGTTTCTAATCCCGTGAAACTTCTTTTGCAGACGACAGCTCACCGGTGGACTCGCTGTACCAAGGTTCCCCTACCTCCTACTTTAGAGCATCATTCCTTTCTCTGCTGCCAGATCCACAGTGCCATCTACTACAAGGACTAACTTCCTCAAACTGCTCCCCAGGGGGTGACCTAGCTGGTCAGCATCCACTTTACAGGAGATTTTGAAGCAATGAAATCACTTTTTAGTTTTGTTTTGGCTTTGGGATTTATTTTTTTTTTTCTGAAGAAGAAGAAAAAGCAGAAGTGGTAAAGCTGCTTTCTCCCCTGAAAGAAACGGGGCCCTCAGCCCAGCAGAGGGTTAGCTTTAGTCCCATAAGTGCAGTGCTGCTCCTCCCTGGTCCTCAAAGCCCTCTGTCCTTCAGTCGGGCTCTGCACAGCTCCAGCTCAGGGTGGGGAGTTCCCCTCCAGGTCGGTGCTGGAGTGAGGACATACACAGTGCCTCTTCCTGGCCAGGAGTGACCCAAGGCAATGCCTCTTGTAGGAAACCAGAGGGCAAAGTGCTCCTTGTGTGGCTGTGTTGGTTATCCCTGGAAGGGGAGGAGTGGCCAGACCTGAGCCCTGGTGGTCTTTGTGCTCCCCAGGAGGGCCTGTTGGGCTGTGAGCAGAGAGCACAGTAAAGTGGATGCTGAGCCAATAAACATAACAACTCCCACCCTACTCTGATTAATATGTGAAGTGTACAACTGTTTCTTTATGGGTTTATTATCTATAAATTATAGGAAAACATGGCTTTGACGAGCTGTTAGGTGTCGTGTGAGGTGGTCTCTCAGTCCTGGTGCTGCAGGAGCAGAGCTGTGCATTCCTTGGCAGCCTCGTGCATGGACATTGCTCAGCACCATGGAGGGCCCACAGTCCCAGCTGGCTTAATCCTTTCTCTTCCATCCTTTTCCCTGATGAAAGCCTGGGTTTAGGTGCCGGGTGTCAGTGTCCAGTTGTAGAAGGAACTCAGGAGTTCAGAAGAGACAACTGAGACAGGGGCCCAGGGGCTGATTTGGTGGTGCTGCAGGTGCTAATACTGGATCTGGAACTCCAGGCTCATTCCTCAGCCACTGTGGGGTTTTGTTTGAGATTTGTTTAATATTTTCATTGTATAAAAACTTGTTTTTTCTAAACTGTGTAACAGTGTTTGCCTTTCACAGCTGTTGCAATATTGGCAGAAGTACTGATCAGTAAACCTTTTCTTAAACCGAGTGCGGGTCTGTGTGGCGGTGCCGGGGGGTGAGCGCAGGGCCGGGATCGGGGCCGGGGCTGTTCCCGGGGAGTTCCCGCGGCTCCGGGGGCGGCGATTCCTGGGCGGGGACCGCTCCTCCCCGGAACGGTTCGCAGCCGGAACGGGGGGACACGGGCACCGGGGGCCGGGGGGGCTGGGGGGAGGTGTCAGCCCGGGCCGAGAGCCGCGCGCTGCGTCTGCCTCCTGATTGGCTGAAGGGGCTGCCG